TATATATACATATACATATATATACATACTCTGACCAGCTGTCCCTAAACTACCACTTGCTCACCTCAAACTAACTAATGTAAAACATGATACTTATTCTTGACCTCTGAATTTTCCAACTGTGTACCAAAATATATACCAGTAACAATAAAACAAGTATGAAAGGATGCTGAAAAAATTGTTTGGAGTTACCTCTGTAGGAAAAAGATTAGTTTACAGAGCTCAACCTTAAAACTGTAATCATTGGGTCTTACTTCATGATTAAATGTAGATTTAATGAGCTTAGTATGACTTCAGGTGCTATTAGCTAAGCTTTTATACAAGCTGATATATTAACCTGTCATTCAGTAGTTTTAATTAAATAAAAAAAACAACAGACATTAATCTAACAGACTATATGTTCAGTGATCTTATAATAAACACATTGCTTGGTACATTCATTAACAAAACAGGCTGTTTTATTTGTTTGACATCTAGTGACAAAACTCTTTTTAATCACAAAAAGGAAGAAGTGAAAGTCAGGCAGGGCAGTTTTTTTCTAAACACCATAGCTTGGACCTTTCCACTTACAGGCAAACATCACAGTTCTGCATCACAGGGATGACTAGGAAAAAAGGTAAGGCTTATCATAAGCACATAAAAATATTACGGCACCTTCCTGAGTCTTCAAGCGGTGTGAGGTGAAGGAGCTTCGGCAATTACACTCATGCATGTGTTAATATGCTTAATTAGCATGAATAAACACTTTCCTATGACACAGGCTACATTGAGAGCCACACACCTGCTGAAGCTCTGATAAAAGACAACGCCTCATGGCAAAGTGCTTTTTCATGAGACCTGCTAATTGGCATGTGAAAACGGTCTGACTAATTAGGAGAAGGCAGATGATGCTTGATTAGTTTGAATGCAAAGTGTAACTTGTGGTGTGCTGAGACTCAGGAGTGTGTCGAGGTTTTATTCCTTAACCATCACGATACAAAGATAATTGTAATTGTGATCATTTGCATACGTTAATGAATTTGCTTGACGCTTCTTGATCAGACGTGGAATAAATAATTGATGCAGCATCAGCTTAGACCATAGCAAGTGGGACGGTTTGAAATAGCTAAGCGCATTAGAGGTAGCTTGATGGCACCCAGGCAAGGTGTGAAAGTAGAGCAGATGCTATCACTTGTTTTCCTGCTCACAGCGTTCTTGACTGCTGCTGCTATCACATAAAAAAATTAGCTAACAACCTTAAATGGGATGCTGAGGGTTTAACATCTGAACCCAACTTTTAAAAGGCACCAGAGGTCAAATTAAATTGATGCAGCTCAAAAAAATGTGGTTTCCAGAAGTCATGCAGTGTGGCACAGACCAAAGGCACTGTGCTAGGAAACAAGCCAGCCTGTATGGCAGCTCTAATTGAAACAAGATTAAAAAGTAAATACATTAGATTGTTTTAAATGCCCGTGATGTTAAGGGGGGGCACTCCCCTTTAATTAGTGCTCTTTCCGATTAAGCTTTATTAGAGTGAGCCAGCCAGTCAGCCACAAAGCATATGCCCCACGTTTAGGCTCCAAGGAGCTAAAGTAGCACAGATACAGGGCTCATGCTTAATTGTTTCTGTAAATGGTCAGAGCCCAAGCCCCCTAAATCCATTCCTCGGGGTAATCAGGCATGTTTTCACCATACAGGGCTAAAGAAGGAGAGAGAGAGAAGACAGCGAGAAAAAAAAACATGCCAGGTACCATGCAACACTATGCGTCACTAATGCTGCAATGACCTCGAGTTGCTTTGTGACATTTTACAGAAACGTTGTTTTAATAGGATTTAGTTTTGATACCCACACACTCTACCCCATCACTCATAAATACATAACTCAGGCATCTGATCAAGAAACTGTACATTAGAAGAAAAAAAAAAAAAAACAATCAAACCATCGAGTTCAAGCGTGGATGATGAGCTGTTAAACATGAACACAGCCCTGCATTATTAGATAATTGAATGGCTCTCTGTAACTAATCATTTTCAGGTATTGACATCTTAGATGCTATTATCAGTGTCTGGATCTCATGATTAGTAAGAAAGGTTTTTAAAAGAAACAAATGAGAAAAACAAAACAAAATTCAGTTCAAATCAGTCTTTTACACTTCAGCAGTGGTGTCTTCAGTTCATACTGCTTTTTTTGTTTTTTTGAGTCACCATTGTCCTCCAAGTTTGCTCAGTCTTGTAAGAGAAGTTTTTTGCCATTGCAGTTCACATACAGTCTGAAGCCTTTGCACAGGCTGCTGCTTACATTGAGTGCGAACAGAGTGGGTATCCTGGTATAGAAAACCTCTGAAATAGCAAGGGAAGAGTATCCTTAGGATAAACTGGAGCCTCGCTGGGAAAAGTGAAATTGAAGGGCAGTAATAAGGCTTCAATACAACAACTATAACAACAGCAAAAATAGCAGTCGAGGAACAATACAGAGGGGAGGTGAAGCTGGGAAACTCAGGACTCTTCCCACTTAACATACCTGTAGATGAGAGAGGAAAAAGAAGGAGCTAGATTTAGAAAAAGGATCAGTGCTACAACACATGCAGTACTTTAAATCTTTAAAGCTCTTTGATTGGAAAGTCAATAAATATAAGAAAAAAAAAAACACGGCTGAATCCTAAAAGAAAAAGGCAAACTAAATTTGAGAAAACTAATTTAAAAGTAAATCTGCAGCTCAAGGCATGACTATGTACACACATTGCCTTTAAAGCAGTTTCCAAGAAACATTAGTAACCAAGTATTCTGATTTCTAACTTTAATATTCACTTCATCACATTCCCAATTGTGTACCCTCCGCATCTATTTTATCCATACTTTCCATGATTTGTTACTTTAAAGAAACCATTTTCTAAGCACCTAATGTTTAGAACGTTTTAGATTATTTTTCAGGCCCTCTGACTTAAATGAACCATGATTAAACCAAAGATTAGCATAGGAACATGTGTGATGTACCAGCTTTCAGACAAGAAAAATGAAGTGCTATAAAAACACTAAATACTGAAGATCAAAATGCCAAAAGGGACATATGACCAGCAAACCATATTTACAAATAAAGGCTTTCTTTTTAGATAAACAGCAACAATATGTCAGATTGTAACAGTGTTTATTTTTGTCTTGTTTGTCTTGAAATATATGATTTGAAGAATGCATAGCAGTAAAGTGTCATTTTTTTCTAGCTTTTCTGGTTTTATTTTGCAAAGTTATTTATTATTTATTTTTTATTCCTGGTTAATTGTAAAAACTTGCAGTTGACCGACTATTTTTTGCCAACAATTAATTTGTTTCTTTTCCTTTTCTCTTGATGCATGGTTCTGGAAAATGATCTCAACAACCCTTTTATTTACCTTCTGGTCTGTCAGCACGGAGCTGCTCTGAAGTGGAGCCAGGTGGCTGTTGTGCAAAGCAGCGGCGGGCCTGTCATGTTCGCAGAAGATTGTACCATTGATGTAATGGAAGCGATCCCCGGGAATTAGTCTGTTTCTACAGGTGGCACAGCTGAAACACTGCAGGGGAGTAGAATAAAACAAAGCCCATGAATGACTAAAAATATCAGCAGCATACTCTATAAACTAACCTTCATTAGGTTTTTACTTTAATTAAAACCAACTGGCTAAGTTTCACATAGATAGCGAGAACACCCAAGTCAGACATCAGTAGATGGTCAATAAAACATTTTAAGAAAGACTGCCTAAAACTTAGACTTTCTGGGGGGAAAGGAGCTCCTTTTGTTTTCATACTAAATATGTCTGCTACATAGTACTGATTGGGTTATACCTTAATGTGGTAGACATTCCCCTGTGCCCTCATCACCATCTCGTTTGCTGGGATTGGTTGGCCACATGCGCTGCATGCCCCAAAGAGCCTGAAGACACAAAAACAAGCAATGCTTTGCTCAGCCTATACCACTGATTAATCAACCATAATAGGCAGCATCGGTTCCTCTGCCGCCTTCTACACCTCCTCACTTGATGTAGTCACTGCGACACAGAATCATGCCCCCTTTGCTGTAGCAGGTGGTGCCGATGTCCCCCAGCTGGGCCTGGCAGCAGGAACATTTGAGGCAGCGTGTGTGCCAGTAGCGCTCCATAGAGAAGAGCAGAAAGCGGTCAGCGATCTTCCCCCCACATCCAGCACAGGACCTGGGTGCTGGTGGTACACCGGATGCTTGGTTGCTCACCATCCTGATGGGGGCCCCCAGGCTCCTGGAAGGAGAGGCAAGAGTTCAAACATGTTTTGATTTGGGGAATTTCTTCAACTGACAGCTAGTATTAAATCATTAACATTACATTATTATAGCTTTAACATTACCATGTTCCATAAGACTGGCATCCCACCTGTGAGAAGTTCACCTAAACTTTACATACTGGTACAGCTTTGGGTAATTAGTGTTATATTAAATGGGAAAGGATGCTATGCAAAGAAAAGCTCCAGAACAATGGCTTGTTTGTATTCTCATTTCATGATACCTATTTGTAGCTATAAAATGTAGGAAAAATGTACAGAAATGTTGAAGCTAAATGGAGCGCGAGCTCACAGAAAAGGCTGCACGCTGGAATGCGCGCGAGGACTGAAAGCAAGAAAGAGACGCGTTACCTTATTAGGACAAAGCGTTTCCTCCTTCGGTCACAACTTTACAAAGAAAAGTATTCAGAGAGCTCTTGGTACAGTCAAAGGTACGGCGCTCTTAAACACCAAATCCACTGCATCCATTAAAAAAGGTTTAAAAGGTAAAAAAAAATAAAAATGTATGTGTCAATAAATATATATATAAAAGCACAAGACGGCGGCGTTAAATGCAGGACAGCACTGCTGCCAGGGTACAGCTTCTCCTCGGCAATCGGCTCTGCCGACTAGAAGTAGATGCGTGGAGGAACCATCCCGGTGCTTTCTCCTCTGTTACAGCTGTCTGTCTTCAACAGGCTGCCCCCTTCAGCGCATCTGACAGCGACTCGATTCATCAAATTACTAAAGGGGCTGTTTAAAGTACCAAGAGAAGGAGGTCGGGGGAACGCCGCAGCCAATGAGAAGTCCGGAGGCGTGTCTCGAGTAGAAACGGTTTATTGGCTTATAGTAGCCCATTGCTATATGTAGATTTCAGGGGCGGATTTAGGAAATTTAGAGCTCTAGGCAAAGACAGGCAGGGGGCCCTATGAATTGAGAACACAACACATAAAACAGACCAATTATACAGATACAGAAATCATAATAGAATTAAATTTAACGTAGATGAATATATTATTTATCTACGTTTTGTCCCTCTCTTCTTGTCCCTTTCTTCTTGTTTTCCTCTCTATGTTTTGTACTCTTTTTTTCTACTCTGACTTTTTATGCTGTCTCAAAAGGAATTAAATATTTTTTCCCAAGCACTAAACTAACTTAGCTGATTGCTCCTTCCTGTGTTTCCAAAAAGGCGACAGCAAAAGTAAATAACCCAGTCCTTCTTTTCACTGTAGACACGCCATGATCTGCTTATCTGTTCTCCATTTTTCATTTGGATGAAATAATAGCTGCATGAATCATGACAGCAGACAAGATAGAGGAGAGCAGGAGGCGGGGTTACCAATCAGGGGTTGACGTTAAGGATTCGGGCAAGTGGATTTCACATTTCATTTGCCCAGAAACAATTTTTACTTGCCCAGTATAATGTTTGATAAATATAGTTCCTTATATTAATTTTTTTGTATATCAATGAAACATGTTTGTTTTTAAAAAAAAAAAAGTGTAATTCAGTAAGTTTACAGGTTCCTGGTGTGTATATGCATGCGTCAGATAATGAACTCAAGCCTACATTACTGTGTTAACATGCTTTTCAATCCTTTCTGCACATTCTTTTCAAACTAAACTTTGCTTTAAGCTGTTGTGTGCTTGGAAAAAATAAAAAAAATACTTGACATGTTTAGCTCTATAACATTTAAATGCACCACTTCAATGTCTAAGAGAAAAAAATTTCATGAAAATTTTTTAATGTATGACCTGCATCACTGTACAGAATACTGCCATATGATAGAAATATTTACACTGTGCGCATACAATTATTATTATTATTTTCCTAATCCCTGACTGATCATTTTTAATCTAGCGTGTATTATAGTATAGATTAAATTCATCATCTAGCTGCTGCTCTGCAGAATTCTCTCCCCAAGAGCTGAATCACACCATCTAGCGGAAAATCACGAGGCTTTTTCGAAACACGCGAGAATGTGCATAAAACAACAAAAATGGTGCCGGCAACGCTTGTGGGTCGTTTTCAGCGAATGTCGGTGATTTTAAAGTAATTTTGAGTGATAAATAATTTTTTTTTGCGATCATTGCACTTGCCCGGCGGGCAAATGCAATGAAATTTGTACTCTCCCAACAATAAAAACTACTTCCAAGGGCGATCGGGCAATGGTTAACATCGAGCCCTGCCAATCTCCTTGCTCTGGAGTGCAGAGATTGGTGCTTTTATATGTTGTTGCTAAAGTCTCCATCATTCAAAGTCTCCAGCAGAAAAAAGCGGGGATTTGGCGCTAGGTGATTTTTTGAAATAAAAGTGCTAGAGGGTAGAGAGCTAAATATAGCGAAAAAAGCGCTAAGGTTGCAACACTGCTCTTCGCATCGTTTGTTTTCAAATGGTTTGCTGCTGTCTGTTTGGACCTTTCTGAACATGTGCAGCAAATGGACTGGTCCAATGTGGTGGACACTGAAAGGGGGGGGGCTGAGATACATCTAATATTATAAGCATTCTGATTGCATTTTAACGAAAGGATTTTTTATCAAAAACATAATTAAGGTGCACAAATAAGGAATAGTTGTATTAATTAACCTTACATATAAACAGAGTTTTATGGGGGCCCAGGAACTTGGGGAACTGCCCAGTGTTGCCTAATGGTAACCCCCCTGGTCCATTTAAAACATAAACTGAGCTCCCAGATGATGTTACTTAGACATCTACTCATTCTTATCTGTACGGCAGGACAAGATCGGAGGACATGTTAGAAATGTCTTGAATGTTTGACAGAATCGTCCCAATTCTCAAACAGGTAAGTGAAATGTTTTTTATTTTGTTTTATTCATATCATTTCAAAAGTTTGGTAGAAGTTAAGCTACTTCAAATGCAGATGACATATTCTTGATAGCAGGAAGGAAATTCCCAATTTAATATATTTTATTAATCCTAGTTTTAACTTTATTTAGATATCCATCCATCCAAACACTTTGCAAAGCCCCTTTTATCATGTGTTTTTATAAATCATGAAAACATTTAGGAAGTGCTGGATAGAATTCCCCGGATTCTATGCAGCTCAGTTCTTCTTTTGCAGCACCCACTTACTACGACAAACAACAACCAAAAAAACAAAGAAACAAAAACAAAACAATTAAAAGAACACATTTTTATCATCTGTGACTATAAAGCAAAACACAGAGAACAATCAGTGGTTACCTAGAATGAGCTGTGCTATTCGGTTGTCGTGCATGTACATATAACTTTTTCGTAACTAGTTTTTCAGTTTGACTTATCACTTGACTAATTACATTGTTTTTAGGTAAAAATTTTTAATTGCTCCAACAAGCTTAAGGTGTAATGCTGCTTCTTAATGGATGTATTCTCTAAAAGCCTTTGATTTAAGGTGGAACAACATTTTAAGCTTTTTAGTTTCCTAAGCTCCTTCAGGTTTATCCCCCTGAAAACCTGATGTGTACAATATTATGGTTACTATACATCAAAGCTAAAAAAAAAAAAAAAAAAAGTTTCCCTGCATTCCAGTAAAGTTGAGGAATATTTTATCAGCTTTTAAGATTTTGGAAATCGCAAAGAAAACTATCCTCATGAATTGGAAAAGTATGGAAAAACTCAGCATCAATCAGTATAGTGATCTTTTTTTGGATCATATTATTCTTGAGAAAGCATCTGCATCCCCATCAGACAGATCTCTCTGGGCTCCCTTTACTTAGTGTAGTGAGGAGCTGTGGGGTGCATCCTACAGGGCGCAGGGGCTGGTTCGGGGGTCCTTGGGGGCTCTGGAGAGGCGCTCGAAGTGGGGTGCCTGGCGGGTCTAACCCCAGGGTCTGTCTCGGGCGGGGCACAGTTGGCTCCCCCCACCCCCTCTCGCATTCAGACATTGAGGGTTCTGGGTTGTCAATTGGTGGGGGTGTACCGCCTGTCTTCCAGATGGGGGTTGGACTGTGCCAGAAACCCCCTTTTGGTACTCCAAGTTTTAATTAAACCTGAGAGCAACACGCAACAACGTTACATCTGAGCAGGTGTAGGGAAGATCAGGGTCTTCTCAGACCCGTTTTCTAGGTAGCTGCTCACAGGGTTCTGTATTAAAACACCTTAATAGAGGTGAAGGGAGGGCCAAACTGTTGTAGAAAAGGTGTAAAACCAGTAGGGATAGCTGCACCCTGAAGAGGAGTGTGAAATAAATCATCATTCTTCAAGAACCTTCATGCAAAATGTATGCAAGACATCGCTTTCAGCTGTTGCATCCCTTCTCTCTCCACTCTTAAACAACAGAGTGTAAAGTTGGTCGACTCACATGGGCTAAAGACAAGGACTGGACTGCTACTCAGTGGTCCAAAATAATATTCTTTGATCAAAGTAAATGTTGCATTTCCTTTGGGAATCAGGGTCTCAGGGTCTAGAGGAAGCAAACTTTACTGACGATAATTTGCTGCTGTAATATAATAGATCGTTTTTAGAATAAAAAGCTAGCAGATTTGCATAATCAAAAATAACAGAAAACAATTATAAAGCATTCAGTATTATAAGAAAGCCCGCACTGTTTCTGAATAAATACATTATTGTATGAGTTAAGTTCTCTTCCGTTTATGCCTCTTTCCTTTTAAGTATGAAATGTCCCATGCTCCTGAATGCACCATAGCTATCTGACGCTCATGAATGCATCACACTGGTTTCTGTAGATGCGTGTTTGATTTTCCGCTCAAAACAAAGCTTTGAAGTTTCCAAACTCACGTCGGCATCACTGTTTGTTATGTGTGAATAACAAGAAACTACAAAAAAATAAATAAATAAATCAAATAAATCAGCCGTACCTCGGACACAATCTTTGGATTTAATGTTGTATTTGACACCTCTGCGTTTCATGGCTGTTAAAAAAAAGTTTCCAGGTCCTTGACATTATTTTTCAAACTCACAAACTAAAGGATTTTAAGGTTTCATGGAAAAAAAATCCTGAGCATTGTATCAAAATATCACACTAGTTTACTGTGAATGACCCATCATTTCCCTAGTGGCTGCAATGGTAATTTAACTCTATCCCTTAAAGTGATTGGGACAGCTGAACTCAGTGGCAGGGGGACCCAGTATTCAGCAACATGGTATATACACTGTGTGCAGAATTATTAGGCAAATTAGTTTTTTTAACATCATCCTTTTCATACATGTTGTCCTACTACAAGCTGTATGGGCTTAAAGTGGATCTCTGTAATTAGAAGGGGTGTGGCCTAATGACAACATCCTATATAAGGTGTGCTTAATTATTTGGCAACTTACTTTCCTTTGGCAAAATGAGTCATAAGAGAGTTGACAGACTGTGAAAAGTCATAAATTGTCAGATGTCTTTCAGAGGGGTGCAGCAGTTTGGAAATTGCTAAGACATTTTGAATTGAGAAAGCTTCCTGGAGGGGAAGCGAAACGTCTTCAAGCTTTGGAAACTAAGTCCAGTGGATTGTTTTTTATACTTTTACAGAACAAGCTTTTGAAGCGGGATCATCACACAATCAAGCGGTTCATGGCAAATAGTCAACAGGGGCGCAAGAAGCGAGTTGAAAAAAGTAGACGCCAAAATAACTACCCATGAATGGAGAAGAATCAAGCGTGAAGCTGCCAGGAAGCCATTAGCCACTAGTTGTGTCATATTTCAGAGCTGCAACATGTCTGGAGTGCCAAGAAGCACAAGGTGCTCAATACTCTGGGACCTGGTTAAGGTAAGGAAAGCTGAAAAAAGGCCACCTTTGAACAAGACATATAAGACAAAACGTCAAGATTGGGCCAAGAAATATCTGAAGACTGATTTCTCCATGGTGTTTTAGTCTGATGAAATGAGTCTAGATGGGCGAGATGGATGGGCACCAGGCTGGATCAGTAAAGGGCAGCGAGTTCCTTATGGACTCAGACGCCAGCAAGGTGGAGCACTGGTATGGGCTGGTATCATTAAAGATGAGCTTGTGGGACCTTTTCGGGTTGATAATGGAGTCGAGATCAACTCCCAGACCTACTGCGAGTCTCTGGAAGACACCTTCTTCAAATAGTGGTACAATAAGTCATCGCCATCATTGAAGGAAAACATTATATTCATGCAGGACAATGCTCCGTCAGACACATCAAAATACACCAGAGTGTGGCTGGCCAAAAAAGAAAAGTCTAAAATGAGATCAAATAATGACATTTCCCCCTTGTTCACCCGATCTGAACCCCATCCAGAACCTGTGGTCCTTCATGAAATATGAGATCTACAGGGAGGGAAAACAGTCCACCTCTCTGAGCAGTGTCTGGGAGGCTTCTTGTGGCTGCTGCACACAATGTGGATCGCAAACAAATAAAGACACTGACAGAATCTATAGATGGAAGGCTTTTGAGCGTCAGGGTGAAGAAAGTTTGCTATATTGGTCACTGATGTTTTTGTTTTTTTGTTTATGAATGTTACAAATGTTTATTTCTAAAATTTGAGTTACATTGGTTTAGCTGATGAAAGTGAGATGGGTCTATATTTGTATTTATTATGTTGCCTAATAACTCTGCACAGTAATATTTACCTGCACACAGACATCCTCATTAAATTGCTAAATCTAAAAAAAACAAAACAAAACATCAACTTCCAAAAATATGAAACTTTGATGTTAAGGAGTCTGGCTTGATTGGTTGATTGAGAACACAATTGTGGCCCAATAATAAAAATAATCTTCAAAAATGTAACTTGCCTAATAATTCTGCACACAGTGTAGAAGCAGTTTGAGGCCAAAATTTCCGACCAAAGGTGAATCTTTGACTCCTTAAACATCTTTGTTTGTGGGCTGACAGGAAAGGGGGCTCGAGAGACGGGGGAGAGAAATGTGGCCGACCACAGGTCGGATTCGAATCCGGGTCGGCCACGTCGAGGACTAAGGCCAGCGTACATGAGTTGTGCGTGCTAACCACTGTCCCACTGAAGCATGACCCCTGAAATGTACTTCTAAAGCTGGAAAAAAACAAAACAAAAATTGTATTGTAGGAATAATTTAATTACATTAGGGAAAGAATGCTGACATGTATTAGTAAAATTCCTGAATTTCCCATATGAAACTGCTCTTAAGAAAGAGTTTAACATTTAAAAAAAAAGCCAGGCCAAATACTGCAACATGAATCTGATGTGAGTAAAATGGTTATTCTTAAAAACCGTGTCACATTGTTTAAAACTGAAAAGGTCACTAATGGGGATTTTAGAAAATCTGATCTGCTAAGTGCGACATAAAAATAACATCCACAACAGGTTCTTTGAGAATAAAGTAAAGGGAATTGATTTTTCATTGCAGTACAGAGATGTTTTATGTTCCACAATCAGAGTGTAAAGTGGCTGGGTTTCTGTCCCGGATGCTCCAAAGGACAGAGCCAACAACCAGGGCTGAAGTCAGCTCAGCCAGTCCAGATCTTCATCTTCTTCATCGTCACCAAACAGAGGGGCGGGTGGTGGACGCCCCTTTAAGCTCTGGAAAATAAAAAATAACACAAAATAACAAAGGACAAGTTTTATTTAACCTCATTAATCTCATCTTACAGAAACACTAAAAACAAAAGGTGGGTAGAACAGTCCACATGTCCTTCCTCACCATATCATCCTCCTCTTCCTCCTCACTTGCGGCAGCAGGGGGTTTGGAAGGAGGCGTGCTCTGGAAAAATGACTCTTCTCCATTTTCCTCACCAATTCCTTCAGTCAGACTGAGAAAACAGCAAACATAAAACACATTTATTGTATGAAGGGTAGTTGTTCAACAAGGATTCATTCTACAACAGTTTACTGGAGAACACAAACAGCTGAAATCAGAGTGTTAAAACATTTTTACCCAAATAATACCCTAAGCAGGGTATCTGCACATTTCAACAAGTCATATTTAAGACCTTTGTAATGCCACCTGAATTAAATTGTAAAAAAAATAAAACATAAAAAAACCTACTGTACTACGATCTCCATGACTATCAGACGAAGTCTACTTTTTTTGTATGTTTTTTAATAAACTGATAAGCGCACTCTGCCAAACAGCATATCAGAAATCTGTATCCAAAAGTCTAAACATTCAAAACAAACAAATCAACATCAATGTCAGTGAAAACAAATTTTAAAGGTGTAAAGGTGAATTACATGTGGTCAATAAAAGTAGAAGACTGTATCATGAAACCAACTAAACACTGAACAAACACTCAAAATAACTTCAGCTTTAATATGAAGACACACTAAGACCCGTTGACTTTTTTCCAAGGCAGGCTTTGGATGTGAGCTACTAATTTTTGTTTCATAATGTAATTTGTGTTTTCCACAAGTAAGTCGACGCACAAGCTGAGAATCAGAACATTGTGCCAAAAAGCTTGTCGATCTCCGCCGTGTTCAAGATCCATGCCAACTTGGAACTTAATGTTGCTGTCCTGCTGAGGATTACTGTCAGGTCAGTCATGCTAGTACCGGCTGCTGTTGCTTGCTGGGGTGATGGATTCACGTAGAACCGAGCGATGTTCAGTTTTTGTTTTTGGCTCAGTTTATACTTACTGCCCTCTACAATTCTCCTCTCTAATTCCCACGGTGCAGAGTTGGAACTGACTCTTACAAAGGCTGCTTATTCCAATCCATTTTCTTCCGCTTTATCCAGGGCTTGGTCTTGGAGGCAGCAGTCTAAGCAGAGATGCCCGGATTCCCGATCCACAAACAACAACTCCAGCTGCTCGGGAGGACCCCAAGGTGACACCAGGCCAGTTCAGAGACATATACCACATTTACACTACCCTTGAAAAACCGATCCATGCTGAGACCGGTCCGAGCTCGGATCAGTTAACCAGGCCAAGCTTGGTTCTGACGACCGTTTACACATCACGCTATCTCGGTTCCTCAACTCCTAATGACGATCTGCGGTATTACTGCCAGTATTGAAGGAGGAAATCAAGCAGTTGGTGGTGGTAATGCACCAAAAGACAGCCATAAAACACAAGAAGAAGACGAAGGAGGAGGGAATCAAGCAAATTAAAATGGCGGCGTCCGTCACATTCAGAACGTTATGCTTGATTATTATTGCTGTACTTCGGTGTTATTATTTACAATGCCATTATTTAAAATGTTGCGTGGAGAAGATTTCGATTGTTGTTTATAGTTGTTGTTGTTCTTCTGTTTTGTGTTGGTTGGCAAGCAACTTCCGGAGGGGCATTACATCCAACTACTGGAATGGAGTGTGAATCGGGATGTGCAGCCAGACGGAGATGAAGCGTTCTGCTATATGCGCTCTTGTTATCAGAGAACCGAGCCAGGGAAAAACGGTTCGGTTGTGTCTAGCTCAGTTGAGTTCAGTTTGCTTTCCATTTACACACGATAAGTTATCTCAGTTACTGAGCTCGGACCGGTCTCGGCACGGTTTTTAAAAGGTAGTGTAAATGGGATAATAGTCCCTCCAATTGTCCTGGGCCTTCCATGAGGCCTCCTTCCAAAGGGACATGCCTGGAATACCTCCCAAGGGAGGCGACCAGGAGGCACCCGGAACAGATGCCCAGGCCACCTCAGCTGGCTCCTTTTGACGTGGAGGAGCAAAAACTTAACTTCGAGCTCCTCATCCGATGTCAAAGGATGCACCCAGCCACCCTGCGACGGAAACTCATTTCGGCTGCTTGTATTGGCGATCTTGTCCTTTCAGTCATTACCAACATGCTTCAGACAACCTTTAAACCAACTCTCCTCCAGCCAATGGTTGTTGAACTGCTGACCGACTGCTGGGGGACTAGGAAGGAATCTGTGCGCAACCCCAGCTCTGGGTGTTACTGAAATTCGTGATTTCACAACTTTTACAAGCATTTAAGACTTAAGGTCTGGAAATACCATGCAAAGAGTTAATTTCATTAAGCCAATTAATGGCTGAGCTGTTCTGAATGTTGCCCAGTTGAACACAGGCACCTATTCACTGTTGTTCACTCTCATTATTCTGTAACTCTGGCAAAAAGAGAAAGTGGTCCATGATACTGTACGATTGAACCATCCCTGTTTGCAGCTCAGTGTAACAAATCGGGTCACAAATTTTGGTGCAAAACCCGTATTTGGCCATAATTCACCACATTTCAGAGCTACTTGGTGATTTGTGGTCCGATCCGCTTCTCTAAACAGCTGCAGCTGTTATTATGAGCAACATGCTCGGTGGGTGCTCTTACTAGGCTACCGTAATAAGTTTATGTTAAACATTATTTTCTCTTTCATTCGACATTCAAAATCTCTGTTGGCCAAAACAGGGAATGTCCCCGGAATAACTTAATGAGGCCCAACTTCCTGTAAGCTGTCGGCTGTTTTCCAGGTGTGACTTAGTGGGACTAAGGTAATTTGGCATTGATTTGGTTTAAGTGATGTTCCTAAAGTGTCTAAAATCCAACTAGAACTCACCTTTTGTCATCTCCAGAGTTATTATGCTCAGCCATTGGAGGCGGAGGAGGGTTGGCTGGGGGTCCAAATGCTTTCAGAGAAGCAGCAACAGCAATTATTTCTGAAACATTATCTGTATCATCCACACTTTCTGAATCTCCCTTAACATCTACCCCGCTGCTCACTTCAGCAGCTTTTTCTTGATCATCTGTAGGCAGAGGGGTCTCATCATCAGGACCCAAACGCTTGCTCATATCTGCTTCGTTAGTATGTGTAGCAGATAGTTGCTCCTGTTCTTCTTCCTTAACCTCTGATGCTATTTGTTGCCTTTCCAGATCCTGAAATGCAGATTCAGTGCAGGAAACGGACTGAAGACCAACAGCTTCAGAATCGCCTGCTTGGCTTGGTGTCTCTGACTTATTCGCCATTTCTGGTTCCTCCTCCTGAACATTCTCAGCTTCATTGACTTGGTGATAATTTGCATCGGCCACATGTTCCTCCTCAACCATCTCTTCCTCTTTCACTTCTCTTTCCCCATTAACTTGAACATTACATTTCTTTTCCGGTTGTTTCACATCCTGACTTTCCTCATTTTCATCTTCTTTGTTATCTGGTTTTAGTTGGGATGGATCTTTGCCACTCAGCAGCTGCAGGGTTACATTCTGGAAAAAAAAAATAAAATAAAATAAAATAAATCCACAATTAAATTAAGGCATTATAACTTTTTTCATATAAAATACATTTACATTGAACGGATTTCTAAGATCAGAATCTTTCATTGTAAAATATTTTAATGCTAGGCAAAAACAAACTAATGATGGTTTGAGACAAAGCTGCCTTAATAGTAAGTTTTTCATTGTGGGAGCCAGCGACACTAATGAAATGCTTTTAGAACTTTGATCATAACAGCTCTAAACAAGGGGGCAAAACGTATTTAGTCAGCCACTGATTGTGCAAGAAAGGTCTGCAATTTTCATCATAGGTTCACTTCAACTGAAATAAAAATCCAGGAAATCACACTGTAGGATTTTTAAAGGATGATTATGGTGGACAATAAATATCTGGTCAATAACAAAAGTTCAACTCAGTACTTTTTAGCAGATGTCAAACATTTTCCTTCAGTCTTCACAAGGTTTGTATATTTTGCATCTGGCATTTTCGACCATTCCTCCATTTTCTCTACAACAGTGATGTTTTAAGGCCGTCAATGGTTAATACAGACTTTCAACTTCCTCCATTAATTTTCTTTGGGGTTGTGGTCTGGAACATTTCAAAGCATTTAAGGCCATTCCAGGACCTTGAAATGCTTTTTACGGAGCCACTCCTTCTTTGATGGGGTTAAGATCCTTGTCGTGCTGGAAGACCTAGCCATGTTCCATGTTTAATGCTCTCACTGATGGAAGGAGCCCCACTGATCATTAGTATAATTTCTATACCTTTCTATACCCTTTTTGTTATATGTTTTTGTTATAATCTGTCAAATTTGAAGGCCCTTTTCTTACAGCTGAAATTTATAAAAACTCTTGTCAACAAAACAACAACTAATATAGACTTTTATCAAACTAAAAGCAATAAGACTGAAAAAGATACATTTGTTGGATGGACAAAATTTAGGCCCAAGTCTAAAAAGAACTGACATCAGGAAGGAGACGGTAACTTAGTGACCTTTTGTCAATAACAGGTCAGTAATTGTTTTGACTAATCACATTGTTTCAGAGGAGAGGTTTCAGTTCTACATTTTGATAATTGTTATGCTTCTTGAATGTTAGAGGCGCATATCTTTTCAGCTTTGTCTGTAGCAGAGAAAGTTCCCTGGATTAGCTTCAAACAGAAAGTCTATTTTGGTAGATTTTGGAGGAAAAAAAAAGAAAAACTCACCTTGATGGTTGTGACAATCACCCCCAGCACAGCCTTGCCACTGTACGATTCATTGACCTCAAACTCTGCCCGCAGAGAATGAAACACTCCATTCATCACACGTTTCACCTGGAACAACACATGAATGGTCTCAGGCTCTGCTTAAAGGTATTTTAAAAGCATTTACAGTAGCAGCCATTAAAAATGGCCCTTCCCAGTCAACAGCCAGCCGAATGGCAGCAAAATCCCCTCCAACTTCTAGCCACTGGCCTTCTCATTGTTGGGCATATTTTATTTACACTGAATTACAGGTTCTGACCAGGAGATAATGCTTCTATTTAGATCTTATCCACAAATCATGACAGAAAGAATATTTTAGATGTTTAAAAAGGAATTTTAGGGGACTAGCCAGGGACCAATCAAGCAAAGTGGGGAAATTTTGAATGGCTATTACTGTATAAAGGAAAAAAAACGTAATGCATATCTAATGTTTTTTAGCAACGTTGTTGCAGTGATTTCATTTTTATTTAGGGATAAAATTCCTGTTCTTCCTTTACATGATTTTTATTATATACATGCTGGGATCAGTATAACACGCTTTCATAAACTTTCCATTATGATGGGGTAGCATCTCAGTGGTGGTGGGATTTTTAAAGGTGCAGGAGGTCATTTTATGAAAACTTTGTGTTTTACTTTGTGTTCTACATATGATCTTGTCTTAACCCTTTACAGTAACATGAGACATAAGCTCCTCTGCCTCATCTCAGTGGTTTTACTTTTACCTTAAGGAGGGATACACCAACCCCAGTCAGAAACCACCAATCCACTTTCCAATAAGGAAAGTCTAAGCAGCGTCGAAGCTACTGTTGTGGAGGAGGAGCTGTGGAGAGAAGGCCAAGTTGGTACTAGTGGAAAAGGGGGCACTAAAGGCTACCACCAACTCACGTGGACGTACATCTGAAATTATCTGCACAGAGTTCAAGCCAACTCGAAACTGCGCAGACAGGTGCACACAAAGCAAAATCGAACAACCACATATGTGGTGTCACACTATACTTATACTGCTCAGCAGGAAAGTATTTCTTGCCAGAAACGAGTAGTCATACTCAACTGTTTTAAATGTGACACGTTTTCTGTCTGCTTTTTTTCTCTTCACGGTTGCTACAAGCATGCTTGGTGTGAAGGATTGCTTTAGAGTCGATATGTCAATGCAATCAGCTGGTTTTCCTTAAATAGAAAATTTTGAACTAATCTAACTGCATGATCTGGTTGAATTTTCTCTGTAAAGTGCCTTGAGATGACGTGTTGTGAATTGGCGCTATAGAAATAAACTGAATAGAACTGAATTAAAAAAGAACTAAAATGAAGTAAAAGGAAATTAAGACCAATGGGTAGAAAATAAAGAATGACCAAGAGAAAAACTGTGTTGTGAATTGGTGCTATAAACAAACTGAAATGAATTGAGCTGACAAGGCTCCCGAGGTGATAGATGGAAATGACACAGTGCTCAGAGAAATGAGCAATTAGCATAACAGCCATACTCTGACTCGCCGACATGTTAGGAGAAAAAAACACAGCTAGACTGCTGTTCTTATATTTTTGTCTTATTTAGATAGGATGCCATGGCAGTGTGGGGAAGGAAGGCATCTGCCAAGAGAAAAGTAGCTTAATTTAACTATCACCGAAGACTCAACCTGGCTCAGAGGAGAATATCCAATCAAGTATGTGGGAGCCTTGAAATCTCGCGAGATCAGAAGTTGGAATTGGAGCAGCTTGTAACCAGCAGGGAATACTTGTGTTGTTATGTGACCATTTAATTTGTTTGCAGTCATTTAGGGACCCCTCACCTCAGTTGCTAGCATCTCCTGATGTGTGTCCCTGTTCTCCACTAATTCTGCCAGCTCTCTGCGGTGCTGTTCTTTAGCTGCAGCTAACATCTGCTCACTCTTCCTCTTCCATTCTTCTTCTAGCTCTGCCTGCAGCTGAGACAGCTACAACACAAAAAAAAAAAAAACCATTAGTAGAAGTAAGAAAAGGAAGAATACAGGTCACCTAAAGATAACAGTCAGTTACAGTCAGTTAGTAAATGGGATTTTAAGGCTCATGATTCAACATCCATGGCCCAAATCATTGTTTAAGGACAAACCTGCTCTGATGCAGCACTGTCATTGCAGGTCCTGGCCTTCCGGAGCTGAGCTCGAAGGTTTTCAAGTTCCTGCAGGTTGTTCTTCCGGAGCTCCTCCATCTCCTCTTCTCGATGCTGACGTTCTGTCTGCCACTTCTTCTTCCTATCTGATAGAGCCTGAACATGGCAGAAAGACATTTACTCAGATGTTCCCATGTCCCAAACAGCTGCCTGAAATAAATTATGGGTTTTTCTACCCCCCAAACTAATTCTTAACATAATCAAATACGCAGACTTCTAATAAGTTCATATTTCCACAACAAAAAAACAAATAACCCACATATACTCCACATACTCGTTCTAGGTTCTCTTTATCTGATTTCAGGTCCTGCAGCTCCTCTTCCATGGAACTGACTTTCAGCTCCATCTCTTTGCGCCTTTGCTTCTCTGAGCGGTACTGATTCTGAGCCCTGTCTGCAGCCTCCTTCAGCTCTGAAATACAACAACACAAAACTTAAAACCACTTTCTATGTACACCAGGAAAGCTATACATGTGATCATTTGTCCTCCAACTGAACAGAAACTACAAGAAAGAACCACAGAACTGACACTGAAATGGAGGAAGACCATCTGGGAAGTTCTGACCGCTGAATTTCTGTTCAGCATGTTTGTGACATCAATGTACACTAAACGCCTTCAGTGTGTTTATTTTCTTTAAGCTATAAGAATCTGGTGGAGCTTAAGGACGAACAGCAGTGCCCTCTTCTGGGCGACAGCAAGACTGCAGCACTGAAAAACGGCCATCTACCTATCAGATGATCAGACAGAACAAATGTTATTTTATTTATCCATTAATCAGCAGTTAATCATAAGTAGATTACTTGCTTGGACGCTAAGTTCAGAGGTCAGGCATTTTCAAGGCTCATTTGACAGTTTTTTCTAAATTAGAGAGCTTTTTAACTGCAGAGATTATCTTTGCTCCATCTGCAAAGCATCTTTACAGATAATTCTGCAACTCTATCGGAACTTGTCAAGGAAAAGGGACAATGTGTAAAAAACTGTTTTGTTTATATATGACAAAGTTCATTTACTGTCTAAAGTGTAAAACTGGAGGTGGTTCAGTGAATCACAGGGATATCGAACCAGAATGCTCACTTTGATCCCAGCATGCAGCTGCTTTCAGGCTGGCCTATTTCAAGTTTATGAAACTGTTGAGGTTGCATGCTAATAAAGATTCTCAGTCAAACTGGACATAAAGGCAAAAAAAAAATTACAGTTAAAAGTTATTGTAGCGTAATGTTTCTTTCTTCATCCCAAGTTCTGTCTCGGTTCAAAGCTATTGCCAGTTTCAATGTAATTTACACCTTTTTGACCAACTCTTCTCTTATGCTACGTTCACACCGGACATGCTTTGGGCAGCAAAAATGCGCCTGCTGCTTCATTTTTGATGCTTGTACACATTAAAGTCAAATGTGCGTCTAGAGCATCCGTGATGCTCCTAAAGTGCATCCAGTAAAGTGTGTCCAGATGCATCTAATGCTTCTGCCGCTCCTGTGTTCAATGGCAGAGAGCAGCTTTGCCATGGTTACTGTGATAAGTTAGCAAAAAGTACTTTTAATACATTTTTAAGTGAGAAACTCCACCTCAGAACATCGTCTGTGTGGTCATTTCATCAAGATTAAGATCCTGCCTTAAATTATTTTGCTGTCGTAGCTCCCAGATCCCCACATACCAGCGGTGTGCTGTAACTGGGAATCCCTAGCAGCAGCTGGGGGGTTTCTACTACGGTTTGTTGCAGCTGGAAGGTATCTGGTAGAAAGGGCAGGCACCGGAATAATAAAAGCGAACATATTTTGCCAGCAGGTGTTCACATTTTAACTTAAATTAGGCATTAATAAATAGGCGAGTTTCAGGCGAGTGGTCATAAGAGATCATCAACAGCGCCTTGTCTGTCTCCATGCCAGCTCCCAGATCAGCTTCTCTGATTGGTCAATATGGTGCACAGAGCCGTAAAGGTTAAATTTCTCTCTTTTGATGTGCCTTGTTGACTTTGCACGTAAATCATCTGCTTCGATCATTTGCGGTGTGAACGTATCATCAGTCAAACAGGACATAAAAAAGGAAAACAGTTAAAGTTGATTTAGTGTAAAGTTTCTTTCTTCAACCTAAGTTCTTTTTTAGTTTAAAGCTAGTGCCATTTTCAATCCAGTTTACATAATAAAAATAATAATAATAATAATAAAAAAAAATGCAACAAAAAAAAATTCCACTGGACTTTGTTTCCAAGTTCGAAGACATTTCGCTTCCCATCCAGGAAGCTTTTTCGAGCCTTTATAGAGTGGGCCAAAAACAAAGCCTTGTTTTCAATAATAATTGAATTTTATTCATCTCACATTGGAGAAATTTACCTCTGTTTTTGACTCATCCCCTTTGGGTGCAGTGGGCCTCTGTTGTGTGGGATTGTGCGGGGTTAAAGGGTCTTGTGCAGAGACCCAGAGTGGCAGTAGGTGAAAGTGGAGCTCGAACTCAGAACGTCGGGATTCCAATCTCTACGCCCTAACCACTAGGTCGCCACTCCCCCTATCCCCCACTTGCTTGACCAACTCATCTCATTGGGTTTCTAAGCTAAATAGAGGATCAACTACACCCTGTTGTTTGGGGAGTTCATGTGAATCTAGATCTGCAGAAGGGCCCTTTCCTTGATCATGTGTTCAATTTACCTCTGGGAATTTGGAATACAGTGATCTCAGGGGGGACAGCTTTCCATGTTCTTGCTTGTGGACACCTGTATGGTCTGTGATCACATTTGGCCATCATTACAAAATAACAATGACAAAGTAAAACCCTGTTCTATGTAGTAGTTTGTCTGAAAGGATAACTCTTAAACATCTTATAAACACTCACAGTAGTACTTGTAAGACTGACTAATTATCTAAAGAAGGAAAGTTTAACTAGTGTTGATGTGAGAAGCTGTCATCTTGAATGTGACAGTTGGGGACAGTCGAGTTTCTCTCAGTTTCCAACTCATAGCTTTGACTTTAGAGTTGTTGTGGTTGAAAATTCCCAATTCGAGGTAGCTGGGAGGAGGCCCAGAATACGCTGGAGAGACTATGTTTCTCGGCTGGCCTGGGAGCGCCTTGGGATTCCCCCGGAGGTGTTGGCCCAAGTGGCTGGGGGGAGGGACGTCTGGGCCTCCCTACTGAAGCTGCCACCCCGTGACCCGACCCCAGATGATGGAT